CTCTAGGTCCATAGCTACATGCCTGCATCAATTCATCAATCAATATCGATTGAGTAGCATTCCTGAATTTCACCCTAATGCTGCCGTCGTTAAAGTAGGCATTCATGCTTCTATAACAGGCGCATTAGAATTTTCCACACACTATCTTGCTTCGTTCCTCAAATCTGTGCACTGCCTCACACATTACAACATTGAAATCGGACAAGACAACATCCGCGTTATGCCTGTTTTCTCGGAAAGGGTCCTCACACGTACCTACTCACTATTATCAACCACGATCAAAACGCTGTCGTTTCTGCGCTTGTCGATCTGTGCAACAAATTCTCAGTCTCTCTGCCTCTAGGGTTTTTTAATTTCTAGAAAAAAATCCTCAAATTAGAAGAAAAATGGATCAATCATTTCTAATAATGCTATCAAATTTGCTCCACCTCCACAACCACCTTGATCCGACGAACTCCCTACTCTCCGACTCCTCCTCCGCCTCTTACTCCTCCGACGTATCATCCCCTGCCTCCATCCTTACCTCCACCTCCGCCGCGCCCATCCTCTTCTTCACTCTCGCCTCCGTCCTTTCTTACCTGGCTTCTAACTCACCTAAAAAACCTTCCAAACCCTCTTCCCCCTCCTCTTCCTCCTCTAAACCGCCGTCAGAATTCTCCGTCGCCGCCTTCCGTGCCCTCTCTACAGAGCGCATATGGGCCATGGAAGCTCCCCTTCGCGATGCCCAGTGGCGATCCCTCTACGGCCTATCTTACCCAGTGTTTACTACTGTTGTTGATAAGCTTAAGCCGTACATTACTCAATCCCAGCTGTCTTTACCGTCTGATTATGCTGTTGCTATGGTCCTGTCTAGGCTCTCCCATGGCCTTTCCCTTAAAACCCTCGCGTCCCGTTATGCCCTTGAACCGTATTTGATTTCGAAGATTACTAACATGGTTACTCGCTTATTGGCGACTAAGCTTTACCCTGAATTTATCAAAATCCCCGTTTCTCGACGTCGTCTTGTGGAGAATACGCAAGGGTTTCAGGAATTAACCTCGCTGCCGAATATTTGTGGGGCTGTTGATTCGACTCCTGTGAAACTGCATAAGCTAAGTCCTGATGTAATTAATGGTTCTATGTATTATTGTAAGTATGGGTTTCCTTCAATATTGCTGCAGGTTGTTGCCGACAGCAAGAAGGTTTTCTGGGACGTGTGCGTGAAAGCTCCTGGTGGTTATGATGATTCCACACATTTCAGGGATAGCTTGTTGTATAACAGATTGATTTCTGGTGATATTGTGTGGGACAAGGCGATAAATGTTAGAGGGCAGCATGTTAGGCCTTACATAGTGGGAGACTGGTGTTTTCCTCTGCTGTCATTTTTGCTCACACCGTTTAGTTATAACAGGACGGGAAATCCAGGACAAAATGCATTTGATGAGGCATTGATGAAGGGAAGGAAGACTGTGGAGGAGGCCATTGGATTGCTTAAAGGGAGGTGGAGGATCCTGCAGGACTTGAATGTGGGACTGAACCATGCACCACAGACCATTGTTGCGTGTTGTGTGTTGCATAACCTGTGCCAGATCGCGAGGGAGCCTGAACCGGAGCTTTGGAAAGAGCCTGAAGAGAATGGGCAGCCTCCCAAGGTGCTGGAGAATGAGAAGTCCTTTCATTACTATGGGGAGAGTTTGAGGAAAGCCTTGGCTGATGATCTATACCAGCGGCTTTCATCAAGATGAGCAAACCAACGGGTAGACCTTTACCAACTTTCTTTTACCAAATGTAAGAATAACTTGCTTTGTAATTATGATGTCCTCTATATGATTATTCTCTCCTATATTGTTGGCAATAAATTATTATAACATCTCCTTTAGTTGACAAGATAGTTTAACGAGACTCTGGAACTTGAACCTGATCAATATTAGGTAGGCTTGTTTTGAATTCAAAGATATATTGATGCTTATCGATCATTTTCTGCTAATGGTTATATTTTCTACCTTGCTATGGGACTCTGTTGGCCATTAGAAGGAAATATGTGCATAAGACAATCATAGGTGTGGCCATATTAGAACGGGTAAAATAATTAGAGAAATTGAAGAATGCTAAATATCTTTCCCACTAAGAATAATTGGAGGAAAAAAACACCCTTGAACTCTTTGTTTGAAGCATAAGATGCTAAAAACTCTACTCCATAGCTTTGTTTCTCTCTGTCCAAATGATCCAGATCCATCACTTTCCATATAACCATCCCCATCTTGCCCTTATCAAATTCTTCCCTAGGTTGCCCTCTCCTAAACCACCTCTACTTTCAATTTTTGTTACTAATTCTTGTGGTAACAAATAATTTTGCGAAGACGCCTCTTTCCCGTGTTTCCACAAAAGTCGCTCATAATTTTCTCCAAAACCAGAACAAACTTACTCCGCATGCATCCTAAATTACAACTTGTAATAGTTTGGAGTACTTGACAAAACCAATTGGATAAGAATAATATAATCCTTTTTAACTTAAGAGGAATGATTTCTACCACTTATCCAAAAACTTTCTCAACTCTCAGAAACCATAACGCTATTGACAATGAATTACCTCCTTGTTGAAGGCCTAGATATTTCAAATGACACTTCTCTACTAAACAGACACCCCCAGTTCTAACACAACTAGAATTGATGTTATCTCCCAGTGGAACATAGCTTGATTTGTTAATGTATGAAGGTAAGGTTGGTACTTGAACATTCACTGAAATACTTATCTTTCTATTTTTCCTAGTAAAAATCTTCTCTTGTACTTCATTTTTCTAGGAAATTTCTGCTGTTGAAATATGAAGGCTTGGTTGTCTAATTCCACCTGATCACGTGCCAACCTGGCTGCTGCAATAGTTGAAAGGGCGTCTTCAATTTGCATATTGTGGAGGGATCATCAGAACCTTTTTATCATTTAGGTAAAGCAGTAGCAATTGCTTCAGGCGTTTCCATCTCTTTAAACCATTTGCAGAACACTTTGTATATTTATTATTTACAGCTGAAGAAGAAACATATCTACTGAACTTTGAGTGAGTGTAATGTGTAGGCAAAACAGAAGCATCATACTGCAATAGGTTAAGGAAAATCACATCAATTGTAACCCGATTTTATTTACCAGATATCTTGCTAAAGGGTGTTTTCTGTACTTTCAACGACAGTGGCAAGGCTAACATTTCATGCTGTTTTTTTGTTTGATGGTTAAATTATGATTTCTGTTTCCCTCTGCATTCCGAATTTACCTAAGGTTTGTCATTGGACTTGTGATGTGGGTGTGAATATACTCGCTAATCTATATCTATCTCCGCTTGAATTTACGTACAAGTGCCTATTAGATGTCTTCACAAAATTCCAACTTTTACTTTTCCAGACATCTGAAGATGATTAGCGTGCTATGAGAAAAAATAAATTCCTGGATGGGAGCGAGAAAATGCTGCTTGTTCATTAGGAACTGTGGTTAAACTTGGATTAAGTAACGTTCCCCCTTGGTTTGGTTTGAAGTGCCTGGAATTAGTCACGCCGTTTGCTACAATAAATGCTTATTTGGGTAATGTTTATTATGTATGTGATCTTGCACTGTCTGATCGACTCGGTTACCATCTACTCGACTAGTTACCACTCCTTCATTAGGGTTGATAGGGGTTTATATTATGCAATGAAACATTGCATTTACATGAAATAAGTTAAAACCCCACAGATTTCTTGCAACGTGAACGAATTATGTTGGCTCAAGTAACTATATTTGACAGATGTTAGACCGAAAATTATTTCAGTAGCCATGCATGCGTATAAACAAAACAGAGGCATAAGTCCCATGGTCGTCAAGAGTTAGTGTCGGAATGCAATGACTGTGTCAGGTTGGCATCGGAGTTTGTGGTGGTGATCTCCTCCGCCCCGTTGTACAATTCCGATTGACAATCCCTCTAGAGGAAAGAGGCTTATGATTTTTTGTTCATCGTGGACCCCATATGAGGGGTTGTGAATTTCGATTGTACAAATAGCATGGTCCGTACCAGTAAGTGGAATCTCTCCTTTTTGCATAAAGTCGTGTCTGTTATATTCGTAAACTTTTTGACTCCGTACCTCTTTTTTTCTCTTTATTATTATTTTGGTCAAATTTTTTTTAGAAGAAAGAAATTGCAGGAGTAATTTTTGGAGGTAGAAACTATACAGACACAAAAATTAATTAATTTAGAAGCTAGAAAAATGAAGCAATTTTATTTGTTGAACAAACATTTTAAGCAATTACACACACGAGATAATCTACAACATTGAAATAACATGAAATTTCCAAACAAAATTATTTAAATTACTGAATTACACTCCAAAAATAAGAGAAGTTAAGCATGAGTTGAATATGGTGTATGAACCCAGAAAAGGTAGAAAAAATAATAACAAAAAAGTTGCTTAATAATGAACTACTTACTCTTCGGGAGTCAAGAATGTGCTTTTTCATGTTCAATCAACGGTTTTAGTTATGCAAATTATTGTGCTGTTCTGGAACTTTATCTTCTTCATGTATTTGTGTTTCTTCTTGGGGCACCACCGCCGGGGTAGCATCGCTGGATGAGCTGCTTACACTGTGCTCCGCCACCATGGGTGGCAGAGAAGGCGGCAAAACCCGGCCATCAAAGCAAGAAGCACATTTAGTCTCGGCCCATTCTTCAAAATCGTACCGGCCACGACCCATTATTCTCCTGCCCGAACAAAGCCTGCCAATCATAACTGAAATTGCACCCAGTATTATTATCACTGCCAGAACCCCAATAACGGGTCCAACCGACCCATGACCCGAATGAGCTGTGGAGGCCTGTTGGGCAGCCACCACCATTGGCGGTGGCTGCTGCTGCTGTAAAGGGTCTAACAATGGTGTATCAGAAGTAGACATTTGAATTATGGCAACAAATGTTTATGTATGTTTCTGCTGGTTTTGGATCTTGGTTTAAGATGATATTCTAGATTTTTTCGAGCGTTGAGAATAGTTTTGTTCTTGAAGAGGAATGGAAGGGAAGAGCGAGTACTAGCTACAATCCCTTGCAGGGCAGAAACAATTTGAATTAAAAATATTAACAATGAACCAAATGTCAAGTAAATATACCAAATTTTGTGAAATATATATATATATATATATCAAAATACTAAAGAATCTTTGGTTATGTTTGTGCCCCAAGAAGAAATATTTTGACAAAAGTTTGGTGACTTTGGAGGGTATACTGCAAGAAGAAGCATTAAAATATGTTGAGCCACAAAGGTCCAACCAGCTCGACATATTTTCCAGACCTACCTCAATCCGCCCCAATGGGTTCTAACCGTCTACCTGGTCGTAAATGTATGAATAATTTTATCTAGTATCAACGGCGTTAAAATACCGATTGATGGGGAACCTACCTCAATCCGCCCCAATGGGCTCTAACTGTTTACATGGTCACAAATGTGTGAATAATTTTATCTTGCATCAACAGTGTTAAAATATCGATTTATGTGGCTACAATATATAAGTTCAATTAAATGAGTCATATAATTTTGCATTTAAATGTCATGTAATTGTCACTTGAACTAAATATCAAAACCAGTGATAATGAGTAGCATTACTCTGAATGTATTTAAATTTTAAAGTCACCCTCAATTATCTAACGAAAAAATATATATTCTAACTCACTCTATGCCCGTTTGATTTGGCATGTTTTCCATGGGAAATAAAATTCTCCAGCTTTTGGGAGTGTTTGATGGTAAAAAAATTTCGTGCAATTTGTTTTTTATCCTCCCTCCACACGTGTCATTTCTATGGTTTTGCGGAAAATCAATTCTCACCACAATTTTGGTGAGAATTGGTTTTTTAGCCTTCTTTTTTACAATTGGAACAAAATTTGTCTTTTTAATTGACAATTTTTATGAAAAACAAAGTCAAATGAACATCAAAAGATAAAAATTTTTAACATGTTTCAGGTAAAAAATTATACCAATTAAACACATTAATTGACAATTCTCAAGAAAACAAGTTCTATGCAATTCAATTTTTTGAAATTCGTTTTCTTTCCACTCAAATTCCATCATTACAATCAAATGAACCTAAATGAATAACATTACTCATGTCATGCACATTAATTAGCTTTTTTAACGGGGAATCAAGATGATTGTTTTTTTTTTTATGTACTTGAGAATATTTGTTTCCACTCTTGCAGATAAACTTGCTTTAGTAAAGCTCAAAAAGTTGCAAATTATGTAGGGACTTCAGCTGAGCTCATTGATTTCTTCTTTATAGTTTTTCCCATCCAATAAAGTTCAAGACCTTCAAGTCTATCATCTAATTTTGATGATCATCTCTGTGTTAAAATAAATAGATAAATAACAATAAAAGTTAAAGCTTTACTCTTTCTCATTTGATCGTGGCTAGTTTTAAGCATAAATTGAGAGGTCCAATACGAAATTGTACACATCCATATTCCTTTGTCGATCGCGACTAATTTTAGACTTGAAGAATCACCCCAAAATGTGGCCATGGCCACTATATATTACACTCTAGAGATTATTTAGAATTCAGTTTTCTAAGATTCATTTGTGTTGGGTTCCAATGCCGATTGAGAGATAGAAGAGTAAGTTCATGAATCGTTCTTTCAATAAAATAATTTTACATGTGAATTCACAATCTTTTTCCTGCTTTTTCACCACACATTTTGAAAAAAGAAGTTATTTTTCACAAAATTTATTCTAAAAAATTCTATTTAAAACATGTTCTAAAAGCTTAATCCCAATAAATATATGGAAAAAAAAAAGGTGTCAGAGCACTGAGGCGCGTAAAGGGAAAGAGAATCTCAGTGCTAGAAGAGAATATTTCTCTTGGGGATAGTAATGATTTTATTCTTTGATTTATGATTTGAAGTAATAATTTTGACAGATCTATTCCTTAAAAGAAGGCTTACACTCTTCACACAGCTCCCCACACAAACACACATTTGATATTATTTGACAAGCGAAAACAGATATTTTCATGGATGGTACAAAATTTAAGTTAGAAACAAATGCATCCCCACCAGCTTTTCATTTTTTTTTTTTTTTGCCACTTTTTCAAAGAATCCTTGTGCTTTCTATTCTATTCTTTGTGACATCTTCTGAAGTCTTCCAAATCGAGGAAAGGATTATTTTGTAGTCAGGGGCGAACCCAAAGACTTTCGATTAGGGGTCACAATCAAACTTTCAAACGGTGGGTAAACTGTAAATAGTAATGGCAGTCCGTAGTCGACAAATTGAAAGAGAGAGACAGATGCATAAAGTTGAGTTTGAAGCTGTCGATTACATAATATATTTATAGTGTAGATTTTAAATTTGATGTTCTAAAAATATATATATTAAAAAAAAAAGCAGCAGCAAAAAAAGGGCAGAAACTGGGTGGGTCAATTGATCCTATAGGACCCCCAGGTCCGCCCCTGTTTGTAGTTTAATATCGAGTAGATTTCGAATTGAATGAAGATCATTTGCATCCTTTTTTCTATTTGTCCAATCCGGGAATCCAAATTATGCTCATAGTGGTATAAAACACCAGTAAAAGTAAAACTACAGAATTTAGCATATGAAGAATAATTGACTAACAGTGTTCATATAATAATAAAGGACCTAGTGCATATTTAACAAACTACTTGATAGTACACAATAAAACATTATTTTATAGAGCAAGCAAAGGCTCGTTTGGCAAGTCTTTTAAAAAAGTCAACAGCCATTCTAGAGATCAAGTTGCTTATGAATATACTTAAATTATTTTAAAGAGCATTTTGTCCGATTAGAAGAATTTTTAGAGCTCATATAAGGTATCTTCCTCACAAAACTCTTCTATAAGAAACAAAAATAAAAGCAGAATTTATATAAAGCAGATCCTATATTACTTAAATAAGTACTCTTCCTGTGCATTATTATCTTGGAAGGTGTTACTTGTCACTTTTTTTTTCAAAAGTCAAGGAACAAAAGTTCTCTTTATCTTTGTGTATATTACAAAATACAAAGATGAGATAATGTATATTAACAGTCATTTGTATCCAATCATTCAAAATGATAATATTTTTCATGCATCCACCATTTGCAAAAGCTTAGTAAAGACCATCTATGTCCCCTTCATCATTAACACAATGATGACATGTTTGGTACATTAATATGGACATATATATAAGACAAGGAATAAGATTTTAGCTTTTTTCTTTACTAACATTGTCGAGTAATGTCTAGCCTACTGTATCACACGGCAACAGTTATTTTGTGGTGGTAAATGAAAAGCATTTCTTACAAACTAGTTTACGAAGCAACATTTTTTTGAACCTCCCCAGATTTTCCGGTGAGCACACCAGCATTTCCAAGCTTTACCACTAATGCTGCAAAATCTTTTGAATAGAGAAATGGATCCATACTATAGTCCTTGAAAATTGCAGCGGCCTTTGGATCTCCAATTAAAGCTTGATCTGATTCAAGAAGGCCTGTGTTGTTCAGCAGGTTCTTATAGTACATATTATCAAACCTGTAGATGCTCTGCGAGTTGAGAAGATCAAGCTTTCTGTTTGATGCATCAGCATTAGAACAAGTGCTCTGCAAATTGGAGAGAAATGAAGAATCAAGCATAGCCTTTGAAATTGGAGAGTCTCCTCTTGAAAGTGAGGCATTGAGCAAAACCAAAAGTATGTGCTCCTATAAATATAAAAGAACTACAATTAAAACTAAGAATTATTCACAAAAAAAAAAAAAAAATGTTGGAGATGGATATGTGATTCTGTTTCTCTATTCCATCGGGTCACAACATGCAAAAAAGTGATTTCGCTCATTATTTCATTTGTAATTCTCTATCTTTATTCCCACAAAGATCGAAAGATACCAATTCAACATCATTCTAGTATCTAAATAACTATATTTTTAGTGAAAAGCTTATTTTTCAAGCTTCTTTATCTTGATATTACCAGGAAACGGAAATTAAGAAGTACCTGAAAGAACTACAGCATCCAATATTCTCTAGAGGCTCGAAAGGTGATGCCATCTATTCATTTGCTGCTCTCTGGCTTGCAGTTAATCCATCTAGCCTACCTAAAGCAACGGGCCAATAAGGCCCTCCTGACTATACCAAACAAATAGTAAATTTTTAATCTTCCAAGTTCATCAATCTTGCAATAAAGCAAACTACTCACATAATCACCTCGTCGAAAAGATTAAATAGCTAGAGAGGGGACACATTTATTCAATTAAATTTAGTCCTACATGCCCCTCACATGTAGACCGAATTCACTTTTTATCAAAGGTCAAAACTTTGATAAATGGGTGGTGGCGAGACTTGAACCAGCAACCTTTTTCCCATCTGATACCAATCAACTCATCTAACAGCTTAGGCTGTTAGATAGAGGACACTTTTATTAATGTAAATTCAGCATTCTATGCAACTTACCAAAACAACAGCTTCTCTAGCTGCAAGAGTCAGTCTGTCAAGGATCTTTCTACGTCTGCCTTTATACTGTCAATAACTTCAAATCCTCAAACTGAATGGCGGTTGGGTAAAGCATTCTTCTCCCCCTTGAAATCTTGAGTATCATCAAGAAGAACAGAGCCATCACGTCCCTAGGCCAAGCATATGCATTGCACATTAACCTTAAAATTTACCAGGCAGAGTAGTGCACAATCTATAGCTACATAGTATAACACGATTTAAAAATCTTCATCTAAGGTTTGGTTTCAGGTTGCGTAGTTTTAGAGCTACAAAAGGAGAGGAAACATAATGATTATTGTCAAATATAAGGCAGAACTTACTGAAGGACTACAAAGAGGCATTGATTGTATCTCCATTTTCTCAATAGTAACCCAATTTCTTGAAAGTCATTAAATCTGCTTCACTCCTTACCGAGTCTAAATTTTTTTTCCCTTCCTAATTCTCTTCATCAAAAACAAAATCACATCTTTTGAATATTGATTCTCCTTAAAAACTGATAACTTGTATGATACTGAAGCATATATAGTCCAACTATATGCAATTTGGAGGAGTAAAATGTCTAAGTGCCATCCAAAAAAATTTCAGAAACAATGTTGACTCGTTAAAAATTAGACAAGAAGGCTATATGTATAGAGTGAGTAGAGAATTACATTCACAAAACAGTCATGAAAATGTAAACAAAGAAGGGATGCAGCTATTCTTTTGTCATTTTTGAATGCCGCCCAAAAGCCCCACTTAACTAAATAAGCAAGTTAGGGCAAGATTTATCCTAGAAATTGCAACTAAGAGATCCAGGAACTTATAATCAGGTAGGCCTTTTGGTTAATGGTGCAAAATAGAAGATCTAGCAAAAGAAAGCAGTACTGTAGAAAGTTTTATGGCCCATTTCTTATAAGGTGAAAAGATTGGTATAGTTGCCTCTATGTATAACAAGAGAAAGAGAACAAAAGGAAAATGCATTGGAGGGCTTAGATAGTGGCATTGCCAATATACATTTGACAACCTAATTGCCAGTCTGCAATAAATCTAATTCATACATGAACACATGAAAAAGAACATAAGTAATACACGATATCATCTACTCAGATAATTTTCTAACTGCATCCAGGAATCCTAACAAATGAAAGCACAGATTAATTCATCTTGAGTACCTTAACAATTTTGTATTTCTGAGGTTCCATAAGGACAATTAATGTATGTCTTCTTAACATTAAGTAGTGGTCTTCTTAACATTAATTAGTGAAGTATGGGGCTAAATATGTCTCTGCCCAATCTCACTGTCTTGCTGTTGCGCTGGCCTCTATTTGATACTGGTACGATCGGTCACGTTTTGCTCGGCATGGACTTGACCTTCTCTTGGTCTTGCCTTTTGGTCTTTACTAGTTGGTCTGTCCTAGCATCTATTATCTTTAAAAAAATTAAAGCGTATCTGAAAAATGAATCCAAATCTGTTCTAAAAATATAAAAGAAATCAACTGGGATTGGCACTATGAGCCTGCAATGAAACTCTTACGAGTCAACGAACCTAAAATGATGACACTAAGCATTTTTAATTATAATACATGAGGGAATATTATAAGGGAATATACAAGTATAATGCGCAGCTTTAAGATTATTGAAAAAGGTTGCACTACTCATAGTTTATTAAATCTCCCATGTTTATGCTTAAATGCCTAATACAATTACTAATTCAAACACACAGTCACCCACAACAGCTGAGTCGGTACACAGAATGATGCCAAATATTGATAAATTATGTTGGAAAATTTACATCAATTGGGGAAAATGGAGAAGAAACAAACAATCAAAAATGTGATAAAAAAGATGAAGAACATAACGAATATGAAGGCTCAAACGCGTAATCGTTGTCCTCAAACTATATTTGCCCTCTCTAGGGATTGAATGGGATGCTTAAGGGTTTTGGCAAACGGTTTGTAAGATTATATCACCAGAAATATGATAAAAAAGATGAAGAACATAACGAATATGAAGGCTCTAACGCGTAATCGCTGTCCTCGAATTATATTTGCCCCCTCTCGAGATTGAATGGGATTCTTAAGGGTTTTGGCAAACAGTTTGCAGGATTGTATCAAGTCTTGTAAAGGATTTAACACTAAAACACAAATGCAATCTTCCAAAATTTTAAGAATACAAAGATATTGAATATTCATATAAATCAATAGTTTGATTCAATGTGAAATGATATGTGGATCTCAAGATGTTTTTCAATGTCTCTAATGTGTTTGTATTGATCATTCATCACCTATTTATAGATCTCAATCAATATATCATAAAATGGCATCAAAACAAGATGAAAAATGGCAACTTTTAATTCAAAACGGCTTCCAAGTTTCAAATTGAAAAATCGGCCGACAACTATTTTTTTAATACTATGCGTACGCATAGTAGAAGCAAATTTAATTCTATTTTAGTCAAAACACATCTCGTGTACACACAAAATTAAATTTGTGCATACGCATAGGCAAAAAATCAAATTTTACATTTTTCAATTTCTTTTGATTCCACAATTGAGCTCACCAATTAGCCTATTATCATTCCATTGATTTTGAACAAATATTCAACAAATTGTGCACAAATTTTAGCATAATAATCAAATAATACATAAACACTCTAAATATAGGCACTCCTAAAACTTTTCAAACAAATTATTTGGGATAAAATTCACAATAAAAACAGCTTTGTAAAGAGAGGATGCTTGCAAGCTCAAAAAAGTGTTATAAATGGCGATTCTTACCAATTATGAATTGTTGAATCGATTTAAAGAGACGCTAATTGCTAAACAAACAGTATTCTAAGCATTCTTGCTCAATGATCTTCCCCCATTATCGCATATAAAATTCGAGTTATTACCAGATGTTGCAGAATTGAGACGGCGTGGGCCTATAAGTAGGTTGTTCAATTTTCCAATTTACGCTGCCATTAACACTGCTTATGCTAGGAAGCGAGTTAGGGTTCAAAACAACTTACTTTCCCTGTATAGTAGAAATGGAGGATAAAAAGGGAGGGAAATTGAAATAAATTTTACCCTGTAGGGTTGAAAGAGTGAAAATTGGAAGGACCAATTAAAAATATGAAAAAAAAAAGGTTAAGAATGGCCCATGCAGGTCTCGAACCTGCGACCTTCGCGTTATTAGCACGACGCTCTAACCAACTGAGCTAATAGGCCAATTGCTAACTTGAATATGTGTGTGTGTATATATATATATTTATTTATTTATTTATTTTTTCAAAACAAAGATCTTACCACATGTATATCATACATTACTGAATGGATTACATGATATCATCTAGAACCACCTAAATTAGAGTCGTAACTCCAGTGGGATTACATAGCATTATTCTTAATTTTAACGTAAAGTTGCATATATAAATTTTTATGGTGAATTTTGGGAAATTCTAGACTTTAATGAATGTAACATACACTTTTTCTCCTTAAATACCCGTATTTATTGTGTATGTAATTTTTTTAATATTATAATTTACACTATGAATTAATCATGTTATAGTGCATGTAATTTTTAGAAATTATAACTTATACTTTGTGTTAATAATGTTTCAATGTATGTAGCTAACAAATTCTAATTCTAACTTAATCATAATTGTATCCTTGTTTTTCGCTTTTAACAAAAAAAAAAAAAGTCCTATCTAATAAAACACCCAATGGTGTCAGAAAATAAAATAAAGTAAAATGAGCAATAAAAAATAAAAATAAAGCAATATCTAATTAAATAAAAATAAGAAAAAATATGCTCCATATTTTCAGACTCGTCAAGTGATTAGGGATTAGTGGTTTGCAGTGGAAACTACTATTATTATTTTTTAAAATCTTAATTTAATGTCAATGGTCATAATCATTTGTTTTATAGTGTTAGATTCTCTATGTCTACAAATAAAACAAAACAAGGGATTGGATGAATTTTAAAATGAAATCCAATCAAATCAATTAAGTAACTTTGTAAGAACCCTAAGGCCCGTTTGATTGGTTTCAATTCCATGAAAAATGTTACATTCGAGCAATTCACTTTCTACTTTGATTGTTTGATACGAAAATGGAAATGGAGTTCAAATTTTAAGATACAAGCACCTAAAGCATGTTTTTGGCCAATTGAGTAGAAAATGCATTTCTATGATTTTAGTGAATTTTTTTTCCAATTTACATGGAATTTGTTTGCCTTTTTTACTTTTGCAGTCAAACAGGACCTAACTTTAAATAGAAAGTTGAATTTGGTAGTTACTTCCACCGTTCTTTTTTGGGTAACTGGTACAAAACGTCCTTATCTTTCAAATTTATTGTGGAAAACATCTCCACCTTTTATATTTTGGCATTTTCACCCTTACATTCCGTGTTTTTTTTGCGCTGAACGTCATTTTCACCAATTTTTAACGTAAAATGACCAATATATCATCCTATTTAAATAAAACAAAAAGAAAAATAAAGAATAAAAAGTAATTGGTACAAAACGCCCCTACCTTTAAAGTTTATTGTGGAAAACGTCCCCACATTTCATTTTTTGGTATTTTTGCTCTTATTTTTACTTTTCTTTGCAGAAAACGTCATTTTCACCATTTTTATTGTAAAATGACCAAAATACCCTCCTATTTAAATAAAACCCAAAAATAAAGAAAAGAAAAATAAATAATAAATTACAATCTTACTCATAAATGTTTTAAAAAGTGCAAGTAAATCCAAATAATTATTAAAATGACTAATAGCACAAAACGTTCATACGTTTGGTGTATAGTGTGAAAAACATCCATATGTTTCAAATTGGTGAAAGGGATGTTTTCCGCAATGAAACGTGGAAATAGGGATGAAAACGCAAAAAAAAAAAAAATTGAAAAGTTGGGACGTTTTTCTGCAAGAAGTGTCAAACGTAGAGATTTTTTTGCTATTAGGCCTTATTAAAATATTAAAAATAACAAAAACTCTCTCTCCCTCTCTCTCCTCTTCTTCTCCAAATGGGCCAACCACCTTAAAAGCCAAAAAGACTCCAGCAAACCACCATCCAAACTACAGGACTACCATACCATCGAAAAGTCATCACTTCCTTCTACATATACCACCCAACATCCAATTTTGAAACTTTCATTCCAATAGATTTGTTAGGAATTGCAAGCCAAAATACCCAACTTCCGAATGTAAATACTGGCAACATCACCTATTTCGGAGAGACCCATATCATTTTCAACACATCAATCGACTATACTCACTACCTTTCTTCATGGTCATAAAATATCAATAGATGGTTCAGCTGTATGAAGGTTCGACGGTTTGGACAATGGTTAGTCAATGTTTTTTCACTTTTAATGTGGTAGTCCCATTTGGAGAAGAAAAGAAGAGAGAGAGTTTTTTTTTTTCAATATATTAATAAGGCATAATAGTAAAAAAAAGTCTCTATGTTTGACACTTCTTGTGAAAAATGTCCATACGTTTCAATTTTTTTGCGTTTTCATACCTATTTTCACTTTTCATTGCGAAAAACGTCACTTTCACCAATTTAAAATGTAGGGACGATTTTCACATTATAAACCAAATGTAGGGACGTTTTGTGTTATTAGGTCTTTTAGTCTTTTAATAATTATTTGGACTTACTTACACTTTTTAAAATATTTAGGAGTAAGATTGTAATTTATTCATTATTTTATTTTTATTTTATTTTGGGTTTTATTTAAATGGGAGGACATTTTAATCATTTTACATTAAAAAATAGTGAAAATAACGTTTTTCGCAAAGAAATGTGGAAATAAGGACAAAAATGCCAAAAAATGAAAGGTGAGGACTTTTTCCACAATAAACCTTAAAGGTATGGACGTTTTGTGTCAATTACCCGAGAATGAATTACAATCTTACTCCTAAATGTTTTAAAAATGGGTAATTGGCATAAAATATCCCTACCTTTCATGTTGATTGTGGAAAACGTCTCTACATTTCATTTTTTAACATTTTTCCCTTATTTCAACGTTTGGTTGCGCAAAACATCATTTTCCCTATTTTTGAAAGCAAAATGACCATTATACATTCTTATTTAAAACAAAAAAAGAAAAAGAAAAGTCAAGAAAAAATTGTAATCATACTCCCAAACGTTTTGAAGAAATATAAATCAGTCCAATAAATTATAAAATTAAAAAAAATCATCTCTCTCCTCTCCTCTCCCTCTTCATCCCCTCCTTCTCCACCACTAAAACTCCACCCTCCGACTACCTTGGGCACTAGACCAACATACTGTCTTGAAACCCTCACTTTCCTCTCAAAACCCACCCAAACTCCAACCATAACTCCAATCGATTTTGCCGAAAATTGAAGCCAAAATAGGCTGCGCAAAACATATTTAAACAACAAACATATTTTATTCCCTCTTTGATTAATCTTTAATTATTATTAAACAAATCATATAAAATTACAAGTCCACAACCGATAAACATTGCCAGTCCCATTCATCTCGCCTATCTTCAAGTTTCCCTCTCTCATATATCTTGAATCCAATCTCATTAACCTTGATAATCCAACACATCTCAACCCCACCCGCCAAAAGAGTACGTAGATCATCAATTAAAATCCCATATTTAGACGGAACCCATAGTTTTTTTGGTATCTTAATCATTATTAATGGCATCTCTATTATTTTCTTCTGTTTCAAAAAGTTTTTGTGTTTTCCTCCGTGGTAGTAGGGTTGAATATCTTAAAACATGAATGTGGCGAAGTCTTAGGTGTGGCAGCCTTGCAAAAAGAAGAGGCTTTAGAATCTAGGAAACCTGAAATTATTGACAAGAAACCTTTTTTAAAAATGTTGAACCCCAATCTTGAGAGCCCCCACTGTCCTGTCCCTAGAGTTTTATGAGGGAGGTAAATTGCGGGATGTGCTCCAGTAGGTCAGGGAACAAGAGCTTCTTGTACACTGCACCTATAAGGAGTTCAATTTTATGTCTCAGGAATCGAACCTCCACACTGTGGCTGCCAGCAAGACGTGAGATAATTTCACTCCTATCCTTTGCACTACTGGGCTATACCCCGGGGGCCGAAAAGAAACCTTTTTTATCTAGAGAGAAAGAGGGAGGGAAAAGAAACAAGAAAAAAAATGGATGGGATTTGTATCGGAAAATCGGCGTAGTCCACGAGAATAACTAGTGTTGATTGAATCGATACACACAGAGATAAACAAGGAGAGAGATACAGTTCAACTTTGTTGTTTAAATATATTTTCGGTAGCCTATTTTGGCTTCAATTTTTGGCCAAATCGATTGGAGTTATGGTCGGAGCTTGAGTGGGTTTCCAAGAGGGAAGTGAAGGCTTCAAAGTGGTATGTTGGTCGGCTCCCAAGGTGGCTGAAGTGTGGAGTTTTGGTGGTGGAGGAGGAAGGGAGGAAGAGGGAGGGGAGATAAAGAAAGAGATGATTTTTTTTCTTTGTAATTTTATAATTTATTGGACTGATTTATATATTTTTAAAACCTTTGAGAGTAGGATTGCAATTTGTGCTTTACTTTACTTTTCTTTTTTGGTTTTTTTTGTTTTAAATAAAAGGGTATAATGGTTATTTTACGTTCAAAACTAGGGAAGAAGATGTTTTGATGAACCAAACGTTGAAATAAGGCAAAAATATCAAAAAATGAAAGGTATGGACGTTTTCCACAATTAACATGAAAGATATGGACGTTTTGTGCCAATTACCCTTTTAAAAAGTACAAGTGAGTTCAAATAATTATTAAAAGGCCTAGTAACACAAAACGTCCTTACATTTGGCTTATAGTGTGCAAAACGTCCATACGTTTCAAATCGGTGAAAAGGACGTTTTCCGCAATAAAAACATGGAAATAGGATTGAAAACGAAAAAAATTGAAACGTAGAGACGTTTTCCGCAAGAAACGTAAAATGTAAGGATTTTTTTGCTATTAGGCCTTATTAAAATATTAAAAATAAATCTCTCTCTATCTCTTCTCTTCTTCTCCAAATGGGTCACCAACCTTAGAAGTCAAAAAACTCCAGCAAACTACAACCCAAACTGTTAGACCACTATATTACCGAAAAGCCCTCACCTCTCTCTACACATACCACCCAACATTCAACATTGAAACCTTCATCTCAATAAATTTGTTCGAAATTGCAAGCTAAAATACCTAATTCACGAATGCAAATACTGGCAGCATTCCTTGTTCCAGAGAGACCCATGTAATTTTCAACACATCAATCGACTAAACTCACTAGGACACATCTCTTCATGGTCTTAAAATATTAACATATGGTTCAGCTGTATGGAGGTTCGACGGTTTGAACGATGGTTGGTCGGAGTTTTTTTCATTTCTAACGTGGCAATCCCATTTGGAGAAGAAGAGAAGAGAGAAAAAGAGTGTTTTTGTTATTTTTAATATTTTAATAATATCTAATTGCCAAAAAATCCCTACGTTTGACACTTCTTACGGAAAACGTTCCTACGTTTCAATTTTTTTGTGTTTTCATTTTTATTTTCACGTTTCATTACGAAAAATATCATTTTCACCAATTTCAAACATAGAGGCGTTTTGCACACTATAGGCCAAATATATGGACTTTTTGTGCTATTAGGCATTTCGATAATTATTTAGACTTACTTGCACTTTTTAAAACATTTAGAAGTTAGATTTAATTTATTTTTTATTTTTCTTTTCTTTTTTTGGTCTTATTTAAATGGGAGTATATTTTGGTCAATTTAAATTTAAAAAAAATGATGAAAAAAACGTTCAGCGCAAAGAAATGTGGAAAATAAGGGCGAAAATGTCAAAAAATGAAAGGTATGGACGTTTTTCACAATAACATTGAAATATAGGGACCTTCTGTGCAAATTACCCTTCTTTTTTCACCAAACAATTTTTATAATGGCAACATCAAAGTGGGTTACTTTAGCTTTAAGATTCTTTCTCTATTATTTGTTTGTGAAAGGGACTACTTGTCAAACATTTTGCATTTTCTAAGTGGGATCGAACTTTTTGATACAAGGGCCAACTTTGTTATCCTTAAGAGTAATATTTAAATACATGTTGGGGCGAATTATTAGAGTTAGTCATGTAAAATATTTGTAGTATAGATTTATCGTATTAAATATGTATTTATAACATATCTTGTAAAGTATTGAACTATAATCGATATTACTACAACAAAATAAAAAAATTAAAATCTAATTTATTAGATCTTACGTCCTAGTAGAGATATAATCAAGTAACAAAATAGTTCTTTGGTTTCATTTGAACTTTGACAAATCCAACAATTCAGTAATTCCTTTACAGATCATTCCTATGAAATAATATTCAAGAAATTGAACATGAAAATAAAAAAACTACAGTAAATGGAAGATAAAAGGAGACTAACATATATAGGTCATTATTTACTTGTGAACTTTAGCTATAGCAAGCTTGAAGAAAAATGAAATTGATATTATTTTTTGGCGTGAAATTTACATATAAAATAAAATAAAACAAAACAAATCGGAGGTGTAGTTTGTGGGTTTATAAGGAATTGGACTTCTTCTTTTGCAATCCAGTTTACCATCCTATAAAACGAGAGAAACTTCAGTTGGGCGGTCGCACCACATGGCAGTGTGACTGCCATGATACATGGTATGTCACTTCAGCTGGTAACCCACCACACACCCCCGAGGTGTGTGGACCACCCACCGAGGTGGCACCTCAGTATGGTGCGCCCGTCCCACTGAAGATTTAGTCCTACAAAACTTGCACTCGTCCATGGAAACAACTCAAGAATTCAGTAGCCTCATAATGGAGACCTTTCATAGAATATACAGATTCAAGAGTTGAACTTAGGATTTGACTGAACAGAAAGCCGACATGATAGACATTAAAGAAAGAAGAAAATGCCTGGTCGGAGTGACACAGCAAATCTTAATTAAATATTACCTGGTGACTGGTGAGACATGGCAGGTGAATTAACAAAAAGTCTCATATAAGTAACTAAAGAAATAACCACATCTTCACCACAGAAAGATAAACAATGTCCTATGAAAGCTTATAATTGATATTGTTTTTGTGATTAGTCACCTGATAAATTTTTTACGCTCTTTTTGGCTAGGATCTTCTCAAGGTTTTGAGATTCCTTCAGGAAGATAAGCCGTGTAAATTAAATTAGCAAAAGCATTTCCTCCAACCTCAATCAGTGCATCAATTTTATCATTAGACCATTCATCCAATGTGACGGACCAAATCTATACGATACAAAATTTTATGGTGGAAATGCAAAGAATAAAAGATTATAAAATGTATGAGTGTGAGAAATAGGAGATGGTAGAATTGAAAAATGAAATGAGGAAGTCGCCTTTGAAATATGTGTACCAAGGTTTCTGTGCACAACACAGCACTTTAAGCAAATAAATACTCCAATATCTGCAAATCTGAACGTGGCACAAAAAATTAAAAAATTAACAAGTAAAAACAAAGGAAAGACAGATACAGAATACATTAATTTACATGTGTTCTTTTTAGTATTGACACGCAGATAATAATGAGCTTGAAAGCCTTTTAAGGTAAGCATGCAACAACTACTACTTTTCCCTCACTCTCTCTTGATTTTTTTATGAATAATCTAGCAAGAAGTAAAGAGAAAGAAAACAATCAGAAGAAACTAGAGGGAACTTAGGCCAATTTTGGATCTGGAGCACTACAATCTGCACACAGACTGTTATTGCATTGAACCTAAAGCTCTTCCAATCTTCTTTTACTTGTACAAACAGTACTCATCAAAGGAAAAAAAGGAAAGCCAAGAACTAATTAAAACTCTACAATATTTGAAAAAGTATGATAAATGAACAAGTATACGAATTAGCAGCAAATTGTTTAAAAAGAGGTTTGCTAAGTAATCACCAATTAGCAACAAAATGTGTCATGTGAAGCACATTAATCAAGGTGCAAAGAGCTTGTCAAACTATGAATATTGCATGGAGAAAAGGTATGTTCTGTTATAATGTCCATTATGTTAAGTGTAATGCAGTGCCCTTGCACAATTGATGAAGCCAATGCACTACATTCTTTAGTCAGTTCTTGACAGAATCTCATTTTGGGGTGCAAGATGCAAGTGCATTCTTCATTAAAAAGGTTAAGTAATTCCACACAACCTTTATGCGAAAAGGGTAGAATGGCAGACATTTCTTACAATTTGAACTTGGCCTGCAAACATTGATATTCCTCATTCCTAAATTTTGGAACCTAGTAGCTCAAGGGACATGAAATTATACTTGAAGTTGGTCTACCTAGCTGGCCCATTGTCTACTAATACCCCACTATCTTTCAACAACTAGTCTTTATTAATAATAACTTGCAAATATTGATCCATCAACAAGATTAAGAACTTATGTTTTCTCACCTTGGATACGAAATTTCCTCGTGTACAATTTTCAAGAAAAGCGTAGGCAAAATTCTCGAAAGTATTTTCCCAGCTAAGCTTGCAACAAATCATACATCAAATATTTAGTATCAAAATCCTAGAATAGTCAAACAAAATGAATGTTAAGAAGCATAGAAAATATAATCACATCATCCTAATATGCCTTAAGATCAATTTGTGCAGGTATGGCGTCTCCTTGTTGGCCAGCTTGCTCATCTTGGGACATAGCGCGAGTTGATGTTCCCTTCTGACTTCGGCTTTCACGTGATGGTGCAGAATCAGGATAAAAATTAACGTTGGGTTTCTCCTCCGACCCCTAGTATAACTTGCAAGTCACTCCTGGGTGCTCATGCTGTAAAATATTGCAAGAAGTCAAATCTCCTATGCACCATGCATGCCAAGCTATATTTTCCAATTGATAAATATCCGCAAAAATTGAATATTGAGTGCCTAAGTTGCAACCTAGAATCGAGAGAGATTGGATTTCTCAGATCAAAAATTATTATAGTTAACCCCCTAGTACCATGAAAGAAAAATTATCAACTAATTAGAATTGAACGTACCGCCATTGGCTATTTGTTGCATCCAACTTCTAACATCAAATGACGGTAGTTGCGACCTTGAATAAAATGCTGCCACTTATCCATTTATGGAATTAGGTAAAGATTTTGCACCTTTGGGGTTTCAATCAGAGCTTCAGCCTTTCCCAATCGCCTTAGGTTTGCCTTCTACGATTTGGGGGAAATTGAAATTTGAAAATGACCATGAATTGATTAATGATTCATTGATTTGGATTTTGGGCAATTGGATTTGGGCCTAATGTTTTTAAACAAAAAGAAGCACATTCCATTCAATTGTCATCAGCCCAAAAAAAAATAATAATAAATAAAAATAAAAATAAAAAACACTGTCTTCTTCATTTCTTCTTCCTACCTCTCTGACTTCCTCCATGGCTTACAAGTCTGCAACTCCAAACCAAGTTATCGGTTGCAACATAATTTAATCATCTGTCATCTAGTTCCCTTTTATTCTACGCTCAAGCTTCTAGAGACTACAACAATGGAACTGCAACTTCCACTCGGCGGTCCGGGAGCCATAGAACTGAACCGAATAGAACCAAAATTTTCGGGTATCTAGTAAATGGAACCGTCGGGTCCAAATATAATTATGAAACCGTTTGAGTTCGGTTCCGTTCGATTCTGTACTATAATTAAATTTTTTAACATTTATAACAACATTATATAAATACAACTAATGATACATTCCATGATTTTGGAATGTCAGAAACTAGTAGACTACCATGTTCAAATGATCACTACGATCAAAGTTTCGATCGGCGAATGTCACGGCTTCGATCGGAGGTCACAGTGTTGGCTGACGATTGTATAGGTTTTGGAATATTAGCGAGATTGCGAGAGTCGAGACAACGTTATGCACTTTAGTGTAAGTGTTTAGGGTTATTTAATGGATTGGATCTTGTTGGGCTAAGAAATGAAACAATAAAATGGGTAATTGGGCCAAAAATTAAAAAATTAGAAATGAAACAAATTATTGAGCCAAAAATTTTGATTTAGAAATTGTTAATTTGTTTAGAAAAAATTAAAATTAAAATAATTTGATTTACTCAATATGAAAAAAAA